ACTCTCTCTTTATGTGTGTGTGTGTGTGTGTGTGTGTGTGTGTGTGTGTGTGTGTGTTAGGATTTCCTTCCTGACTGTACTCTAAGCTATTGGCTGAAACAGTATTATTCATCAACCTATAAAAGCAACACATACACATATACACGGACACGGAAGAACATGCCACATCATACAGCATTCATCCTGAGGATCTCTGAGGACTTCACTTGCAGCCGTAGGTACCATGCCACCATGTCGCTCACACATTACTGAATTCCTTCCCATCTGTAGTCACTGCTACACACAGAGTGCTTGAGAACTGGCCTCCCCATACAACTTGGTGAGCTATGGCCACTGCCAGCGCATAGGCAGTACACTCATGGCCTATCACTCTTCTTATACATATTAGCACATGAACATGTATGGGTGTATTGAGTGCCTGGAGCCGATGGCTCTTCTGGAGAGGACTCAGCCAGCACAGAGTGACCGGCGATGCAGCAGCTCCCCCACCACACTCTGATTTTCCAGTGGAGGATAGTTACTGGGCTATTCATGTTCCTCAACAGGTGCATATGCTGGGCATCTGGGGTGGAGCAGTTCCTTACTATGAGGTCAGCTCATACACATGGGGCCATTTGGCCTCCCTAGCCTGCAGGGAAATGCCAAAAGCAGTATCTAGTCTATTCCAAGCAGAAAAATTCCTTCCTTTTCTCTGTGCCATCAACTTTGTGTGAGGAGACCCCAGGCCTGTGGTTCCAGTGTATCTTGTCAAGGTTTGTTAGCAAATAGAAGTTGCTTCTGGGATATGAGCGTCTGAAAGAAACATTAAACCCATGCACCGGCCTCTCCTTAGCTGTCTCTAGAAGTGTTTTCCCAGTTCTACCATAGATGTGCTGCTCCAGCCTCAGGAGGGGGACTACAGGGGACAGAGTCTCTTGTAGTCTAGTGGTCCTGACACTGGAAGTCATGGTACCCTAGGACAACAAAGAAAGGTTTGGTCTTGTGTTGGAGGTTCACAGGCTGGGCCCTGGAGAAACTACACATAGAAGCCAGTCTGGGTTGCAGGGGTTACAGGAATTCAGTGTGCCTTGGCCTGTAGCCAGGGCCCAGTAGAGAGCCCCACCACATGCGGCCATGGCTGTATCTGTGCATGCTTACTTGTGTGTCACAGTCTCAGCGACAAGCATTGACGTGAGTTCAACTCTGTGGGACCCACCTTCTCCCTGCCCTGTCCCTCTCACTGCTATAGTCATGTTGGAGAATGAGGATGTGTGTGTGTGTGTGTGTGTGTGTGTGTGTGTGTGTGTGTGTGTGTGTAAACAATAAATAAGAGTTAGGGAGAGACAGCCTGGCCCCACACTCATCACTTAGGCCTTCAGTGACCTAAGGACTTGAATTAGGCTCCACCCCTTTAAGGTCCCACAGCTTCCCAACACCCCCACATCTCTAACACATGAACCATATTGAAACAGTGGCAAGGCGCCTTCTCAATAGCCTTGGGCAACTGACTGTGCCCCCCTTTCTAGGGACAGCTCTGGGGGATGAGGAGATTTAGGGATGACTGGAAGAGAAGGAAGAGGGAGCTAGAATGGTACCCTGACATCTATCAGGAAGGAGAATGGCTGCTTCATATACGGCAGGCAGTTTAAGTCTTTGAAGAATAATGTTTTGTCTTCTAAGAGCATGCAGAGAAAATGCATGCCGCAACAGCGCCAAGAGGAATGTGGAATTTATAAAGAATAAGATTTCATCCTCAGTCTTAACCCAATAAGCAAGCACTGGAAGCATGCTTGGAGTTAACACTTAGCTGCTTCTTTAGGAGTCTCTGGCCCCATCCCCTTTCAGCACTAGAGTTTTAGGTGTTGTGCAACCAAGCCTGCCCTTTTACGTAGGATCTGGGGATCTGAATTCGGTTCTTCATGCTTGCGAGGCAGGCACCGCAGTGACCAAGCATCACTTAACATCTTAAAATTTCAGGTGGAAGCTGGGCGGTGGTGACGCACACCTTTAATCCCAGTACTCGGGAGGCAGGGCAGACAGATCTCTGTAAGTTCAAAGCCTGCCTGGTCTACAACAAGCCCCAAAGCTACAAAGAAACCTTGTCTCAAAAAATAAATAAAATAAAATAAAATTCCAGGTGGAAAAAACAATCCAGGTGAAGCATTTTTCAGGCTCTTTCTACCACGATGGTTTTCCTCACTGCAGAGAGACATGAGAACATGGGAGCTGTCTTTTCATTGACGCTCACAGTGTCTGGTCCTATGAGCAGCAGCAACACAGGAGAAACTCTTCTATCTCTGTCCCCTGTGCTGTTCACCAAGGGCCCACGTCTTCCTCCCTCACCCCTGTGTACGCACATGAGACCGCTTCCGCTTTGCTCTTCTCATTGCTGCAACAAATGACTGGCAGAAGCAACTCAAGGGCAGAAGGCTTTATTTGGGCTCCTGAGTCAAGGGTGTAATTAACAGACCACCTAAAATCATCATGGCAGCAAAGTCCTGGCAGCCACGACTGCTCCCTTCCTCCTTTTCATCCAGCCCAGGAAACCAGCCCACACAGTGGAGCTGCCTACATTTAGAGCGGGTCTTCTCAGCCCCGTTAACCTAGGCTGGAAACTCCCTCACAAACATACCTAGAGCTTTATCTCCATGGTGCTTCTGAAACTCCTCGAGCGGACAAGATTAACCATCATGGTAGCTCTTCAGGGACCAGGCTCCTGCCCATGGACCTTGCTGAGGGTGTGCCCCGCAGCAATGATGCCCGCAGCACCGCCAGATGCCTTCATGAGCCCTATCTGGGCCTTCCACACTCCACCTGAAATCCAAAGCCCCTGGGCCTCTCCTGCTTGTGTTTAGCTAGTCCTGTAGTACCCACACTGCAGCTGTGTGTGTGTGATTCCCTAACATCCTACACAGCCCCGGGCACATGCTGTGTGCCCACAGATGCTATTGAGTGGCTAGCTGCTGCAAGTCTTACTGTTGGACTGGAGCCGTGGTCCTAACGAGGAGTCCTTGGACAGCCAACTCTGGGTACTTCTTGAGCACCTAGCAGTGCTCTGGTCCCAGTGAGCTCTGCCTATGGCTGTCCCATCCAATGTCGCCCAAGTATCCAGTCTGGGCTTCTATGGGGACCACAGAGATTTCATCCATGATAAGTGAGGTGATTTTAGGTGGCCTGTTAATTGTTGAAATGGTGAGAAAATTGATCCTTTCTCAGTTGTTTCTTCTTCATGGTGACCTTGAAGGTCTCAGTTTGATACCAGCAGTCAGCCCCGACTCCCAGCCGACTGACCCAACAAGAGACTTTTTTAACCTTGTTGGTTTTTCTCTGTTAAACCATGCTGTGTAGCTGCCAATCATCTTTCTCATCACTGTGACAAGAAACAGGAAGACAACTTACTTGTTTAGCTCATGGTTTCAGAAGGTCCAGTCCATCGTGGTGGGGAGGGCCTGAAAGAACAAAGCGGCTCCCACTAAAACCTGGGTTCCACGCCTTCTTTTACTTTTTTCACCAAACTCATTTGGATGTTGTTGCTCACATACAGGGATGGGTCTTGTCCTCTCAGTTCATCTCCTCTGGAAATACCCTCAGACGTACCCAGAAGTGGGTCTCACACATCTCCTAGGTGATTCTACATCTAGACCAGTTGACAGTGAAGATTACCCGTCCAGTATCCAGTGTGGTAACTTAGCCAGAGACGAGTTGAAGCACGCAGAAGTGTGTCCTAGGTTCTATGCAAAGGCCACATGGCTGAGCATTCAATGGTTTTATCACCCGTGAAGAAGCTGGGAGCCAGTCACTTTTGCTGAGGACATATCTTTTCCTGTGCTTGTTATATTTATCTTGTGTTATTAAATAAGGCCCCACATATCTCAAGCTGTGTAGCCAAGGATGATCTGGAACTTCTGACCCTCCTCCCTACATCTATTAAGTGCTAAAATAAGGTGTGTGCCAACATACCCCACCCCTCTCTAAGCCTCTTGATTTTCTTTTGAACAAAGAATGTTTAGTCAGAACTTTTGGCCAACAGTGTCGTGGAGTAGAATGTTACCAGTATTTTGTTTGTTTATTTTGAGACAGGCCTTGACGTGGAGCCCTAGCTGGCTGGGACTGGTTAGGTAGACCAGGCTACTCTGAGCCTTCAGCTCTTGCCTTGCCTCATGAGTAGTGTCACTGTATTTTTTCTTAAAACTATCATCTATTTCTGGTATGAATGCTTTTATAATAACTAAAATATTATAATTTTATAATAGTAGGAGAAAGTCTTCTCTTTAAGATTCAGCGATATTAAGAATGTCAATGGAGAAAGAGAATGCTAACAGTTGGTGAGCTGGTAGACTAACAAAGCGAGTGTTTGGATGGTTGCCCCAGAAAGGCCGCAGTTGGCAAATGTTCTCTAATGCCATGGGCACAGAAAGGCGGAGGTCAGGAGTTGAGCCGCTCCCCCCCCCCACCTCCAGCTCTATGCAGAGGCATTCTGGAGAGAAGGGGACACAAAGTTAGAGGCAGGGGACTCATTTCTCTTTCTTTCTGTCCCAGCTTCCTCACCCCTACAATAGGGGTCAGGAGGATGGTTAAGTCACTTAGGACAGCAGTTGGCTACTGTGAGGGCTGTGGAGTAGCAGTCGTGATTGGCGCTCAGTGTCCGTGGGGATTGGCTCCAGGACCCCCACAGATTCCCAAATCCTCTGATGTTCACGTCCCTTCTATAAAATGGCAAGATATTTGCATAGAACCTGTCACATCCCTCTACACACTGTGCATCCTCTCCGGATTGTTTAAGACACCTAATGCAATGTAAAGGCTATGGAAATTGTTGTCATACTGTAATGTTTAGGGGATAATGACAACAGAATGCAAATACAGAACAATTGCAACCACCGAATACTTTTAAACTATTCTATGTATTACTATTATTGTGTGTATATGAGTGTGATGTGTATGAGTGCAGGTGCACATGTGTCGTGGCCAGTGTGGAAAGGTCAGAAGACAACTTTTAGGAGTAGGTTCTTCTAAGTGAATTCCTAGGATCTAACTCAGGTTATTAGCACAGTTTTTGTCACTGAGCAACAACAATAATACAAGGTTTTGCTGTGTAGCTCAAGCTCCCTGGTTCCAGGATTACAGGCATGTGATCCCACCCTAGGCCTCCATTTGCTTCGGATCTGAGGTTGGTAGGACCCGAAGCTCCCGAGGGCTGACAGCACACCGCCCCATGCTGCAGCGCTGCCCTGCTCTCCCCAGTAGTAACAGCCATGTTTCCCTTGCAGGTTAACTGTCGGGAGCGATGGGCGACTGGAGCTTCTTGGGGCGGCTGCTGGAGAATGCGCAGGAGCACTCCACGGTCATCGGCAAGGTGTGGCTGACTGTGCTGTTCATCTTTCGCATCCTGGTGCTGGGGGCGGCGGCCGAGGAGGTGTGGGGCGACGAGCAGTCGGACTTCACTTGCAACACGCAACAACCGGGGTGCGAGAACGTCTGCTACGACCGCGCTTTTCCCATCTCGCACATCCGCTTCTGGGCGCTGCAGATCATCTTCGTGTCCACGCCCACGCTCATCTACCTGGGCCACGTGCTGCACATCGTGCGCATGGAGGAGAAGAAGAGAGAGCGGGAGGAAGAGATGCTGAGGAGAGACAACCCTCAGCATGGCCGTGGCCGCGAGCCGATGCGTACAGTGAGTCCGCGGGACCCGCCACTGCGAGATGACCGTGGCAAGGTGCGCATTGCGGGCGCGCTGCTGCGGACCTATGTCTTCAACATCATTTTCAAGACGCTCTTCGAAGTGGGCTTCATCGCGGGCCAGTACTTTCTCTATGGCTTCCAGCTGCAGCCACTTTACCGCTGTGACTGCTGGCCCTGCCCCAACACGGTAGACTGCTTCATCTCTAGGCCCACAGAGAAGACCATCTTCGTCATCTTCATGCTGGCTGTGGCCTGTGCGTCACTGGTGCTCAACATGCTGGAGATTTACCACCTGGGCTGGAAGAAGCTCAAGCAGGGGGTTACCAACCACTTCAGCCCCGATGCCTCAGAAGCCACACACAAGCCCTCGGACCCCCTACCTCACACCTCCAGCTCTGGCCCACCCAGCGCCTCCATTGGGTTCCCACCTTTCTACACACACCCTGCCTGTCCCCCGGTGCAGGCCAGGGCCACGGGGTTTCCTGAGGCTCCACCACCACCAGCAGACTTCACAGTGGTAACCCTGAACGATGCGCAAGGCAGAGGCCACTCTGTCAAGCACTGCAATGGCCTCCATCTAATCACAGAGCAGAACTGGGCCAACAGAGTGGCAGAGCAGCAGACTTCCGCTAGCAAGGCCTCTTCCGTAGCATCCAGCCCCGAGGTTCGTAAGGCGCTCACGGACAGCAGTGGCAGCAGCCTGGAAGAGACTGCCTTGGTGGTGACGCCAGAGGAGGGAGAGCAGGCCTTGGCCACCACAGTGGAGATGCACTCCCCACCCTTGGTCCTCCTGGATCCAGGAAGGTCCAGCAAGGCCAGCAGTGGGCGGGCCAGACCTGGTGACTTGGCCATCTAGCCAAAGTTTCCCCAGACAGCTTGATAGGCCTTCCCTTTCGCCCTTAGAAACCAAAAACCAAAATGCATTTCAAATCACCAGGTAGAAAGAGAGAGAGCCTGACAGCGCTGGCATCCCCAGAAACACTGAACAAACCCGGTCAGGTGTCTGATTTAATGCTTGCTGTTCTTGTCGCTGTGAGGTATAGTGGGGGTCACACCAGCAAGTCTAAGATTGAGAGGGGGCGGGGTTGTTGGCTTTTCAAGATGCTCCCAGCAGCGGTTGCTCCTGGACTCCTCGCATCGGCAGTTACTATTCTGCAGCGGTAAAGCAACAGGTGTTTGCAGTCCTTCAGTGGGAGACAATTGGGTTTCCATTCCTACGCTCTCCAAACAGCCCAGAGGCACAGAGACACTTAGCTCTATCTCTGTGTGATACTTTTAACTTAGAGTTGGATTTCATTTGGGATATTTGCCAAACTGTACTAAAAAAAGATTTAGAGGGACTCTATCTAGTGTCACTTGAGTTTCTGGAATTGCGTATGAAGTCCAGGCTGGCCAACTGCAGGCTGCTGCCCTCTAGAGAGGGGTTCTATGGGACAGGGCCACAGACATCACTGGTAGAGGCAGGTGGAGATGCAGAGACGCTGGAGAACCCTTCAGAAGAGGAAAATGACGACAGTGTGGCAGGTATGCCGTAGGTATTATTTATTCTTTGATGACATTTTGTGCTTAACCTGAATGGTAAAATATATATATAATTGCACCCTCTCTTACACACACACACACACACACACACACACACACACATTTTATCTTTCATTAAAAACTGTAGCACTGTTAAAAATGACTACTGACCAAGAAGATGTTTCATTAGCTGAGATCTTGGACTTTCCTTTGAAACAAATTCATCTCCCTCACCAGCCGACTAATCCCGGGGAGGGTGTCTAGACAGTAAGTTGATCACTGTGAGCATGTACGCTAGGTCAAACTTGGGGGATTTGCGTGCATTTTAAATACTTGAAGTTTTAGCGTTTCTGGATGGGAGGTTCACTACTATAACCAGGAAAAAGTATTTATACAGACGAATCACTGATGACCTACACTTAAAAGAAAAATGCAAAATAAAACGCTTCAAGTTCCCTAACCGTTTATTTATTTATTTTTTGTGCCTGTTTGCTTTCTAAAATGTAAATAAAATTGTCTTGATTTTACTGCGTGTGTAAGAGCATATGGCTGATTGTGGTGTGTCCACACCTCTGTTTTCCATCCACTTAAGTGCTGTCCTACAGGGAGGCTATTTATATACATGGCTGGGCGGGAAGAGGACAATCCTCTCTGCGGTACTCACTACACTAGAGCCTCCATCACAGTCACCATTGTCATAAGCTAATGAATAGTGGTCATGCTGGTCTGTCCCCCACCCCCACTGGCTTCCACTTTGAGTAGTTCATCCTTATTCAGCAAACATCCATTTTCCCATCTCATTCAGTTTTATAAGTTAATCTAATGATTAGTTGGGGATCATACCCCACATGCTTTCTGTCTCCTATGTTAAAGGGGTGGAAAGTAACGTCCAGACTCAGCCTTCTGTGTGCATACGTATATAGTTCATTAGTGCCTTCTGCTTGCTGTAGGATGCAATGAGCATTGATGTTTAAAGTACACTGACTTTCCATACAGACCCTGGACCACAGTTAGGTTGAAAACCCCTACATACATAGATCCTAGCCCGGCACATGCAGTCTTTGGCTTAGGGAGCAGGATTTAGCTCTTTAGACAAAAGGGCTGTGAGAAATCCTGGTGCTAGAGAATTCTGATAAAACAAACAAACGACTTTGATTCTCTTAGAAAATGCCTTAACAGTCACCAGAGAGCCAATGATCAGTCGCGGATGGATGTGGGTGCTTCCTGAGTTCTGCAGGTGGGACTGAAGTAAATGTTACTATATATGAGCTTTGCATGCACCCACGGTTGATTTCTGATGGAGTATTCAGCTTTCCCATTTGAAGAGTGGGACTGAAAACATAGCTTTGTGACCTGAATTGGGTGCCCAGCACCTGTGTTTTTAAAAGGTGGGCTGTGGTAGCATGTGTTTGTAATATGAACCCGCAAAGGTAGAGACAGGAGGTCTCGGGAGTTGTCTGGCCAGTCTATCCAAATAGGCTAGCTTCAGGTTCAGTGAGAGGCCCTGCCTCAAAATCCAAGGTGAGGAGCAACTGAGGAAGATACCGCACACATGTGCATACTTACATGCATGTACTCAAACACACGAACATGGACAACTGAACTCTGTTCACGGTATGCTCACAAAAATGCCGATATTATTTGATTAGGCATAATCTAGCATAGACATAACCTACAGTGTTATGTGAGAAGAAGGAAAGCTTGTCTTGCATGGTGTTACTCTTTGAAGTACGATATCCTGGAGGCAGGGCTTCCTTTCCCATGTGGTTATATGAAATCACTCTGTTTTTAAACAATAAAAATAGGCAAGAGTCTACACAGATGTTTTCTGGCCATTTCATGAAATAGAGATTACACTTTTCCTCCTTGTTTAATAGGAAAAATGAATTCCTAAGTTTCTTAAAATGCATGTGTTGGGGGTTTCCCGGCTATCAAGACTCCCGAAATAATCACACAGAAACTATATTATTTAAATCACTGCTTGGCCAATCATTTCAGCATATTACTAGCAAGCCCCCCCCCCTTTTTTTCTCTTTAGTTTTTCGAGACAGAGTTTCTCCGTAGCTTTCTAGCCTGTCCTGGAACTAGCTCTTGTAGACAGGCTGGCCTCAAACTTACAGAAATCCACCTGCTAGCAAGCTCTTATATCTTTGATTAACCTATTTCTATTATTTTATATTTTGTTATGAGGCTCGTGGCCTACCGGCAAATTTCCAACTGGCAGCTCACATCTTTCCCCTCTGGCAGCTCCATGGTATCTCCTCGACTTTGCCTACTCTCTCTCTATATATATAAAATCTTCCATCCTGACTATATTCTGTTAAGCCATTGGCTGAAAGCAGCTTTTTTATTCATTAACTAATAAAAGCAACAAATATGCAGAAGGGCTTCCCACACCATTTCCCCTTTTCTGTTTAAATAAAAAGTAGGGGTTTAACTTTAATATAGTAAAATTACATATAACAAAACAGGTATCAAGCAAGAATTACAATTACAATATTTATATCTACTTTGTCTTTTATGATAACTAAGGAAGCTATAACTATCTATTCTTCAACTCCATCAAAGACCCCAGAAGGATATAATATGACCTAAGTAAACAGGAAGTGCATTGTAAGCAACTTCCAAAACTCTAGAATTGACAGAGACATCTCACTGCCTAGACAGTCACCCAAAGTTCTTCTGTAATGTTGTGGGTACCCATCTTCAGCCTACAGGCCCATAGCATCAGGCAGACTTTTCCACAAAGCAGGAAATTTCAAAGACAGTCTACCTATATTGGCAGTTTGTCACTCACTTTCTTATGTGTCCTGTGGAATGTCTTCCAGACTCTTTAACGAAGCAGGAACCCTGAAGGATGGTCTCACCTTCTTTAGGCAGCTTCAGCAGTCATTTTTCTGTAGGTCCTGCATATCCAGTTCACACAGCATAGCATCAAGCAATCTCTTACCCAAATGTCTAACCAACTCCATAAGGAGCCTCTTCAGTGCCCATGATCACTTTGAAGTAGATTGGTGCTGCCAGGAGCAGATGAGTCTCATTGTCATGTAAAGTCCTAAGTTCTTAAAACATATTAAATGCTATATTCTGTAGTCTTTGAAAGATTTGGAGAATATCTATCCATCTGAAATAGATCTCTATATATCTAGAAAACCTAACTAACATGACTACAAGCTTGACTATTATAGGTGATTATTTATTAACCTATATTTCTTAATTATACTTTACATTTTTAAATAAGCTGCACAAACACAATACCTTAATCCAGAGCAGAAATATATATAACAAAATTGATCAAAAATTTGTATCAATAAACCAAGATTCATACCAATGCAAATCTCTATAGCATATCTCCCTTTAAATGTAAACATTTTTAAACAATTATCTAAATTATTTCTTATAAATTATAATTAAATTACTATAATTAAATTATAATTATTCTAAATTATAATTATTACAATTAAGATATAATTGTTATAAATTATATTTATTATAATTAAATTATAATTATTATAAATTGTTTATAATTTGTTATAATTTGGGTGTAGTTCTCTCCAAACTGCTTCCTGCTTTTTATTTATTGGGCAAAGTATTTTGGGGGGTCTTCATGGTGACCTTTTGGGGGGGGTCTTGGTCCATCAAACCACATTACTCTGAAATTAATCCACAGGTTCTCATCTTATATGGAAACAAAAGCAGAACCTCTTTTCCAAAGCAACAAATCCTTAGACCCAAATTTTGAAGTTAAGATACCTTTATGTTGGTTTATCGTAGCAGCCCCCAGAATCAAATATCTCTCTGCAGTCAAAAAACTCAAAGAAAACATAATAATTTATATAACCCAGACTCTCTGTGTATATTCTATCTTTACATGACTACCTAACATATTTATTTTCCTTGTAAAACATTTTACTAATATTCTTAGACCAGTTATGAATTTCATGACACTAGAAGGAGTGATTTGCTTCTAGAGAGAACTATTAGACTAATATGAGACAGTGTTCATGTGTAAATCTCAGCTTCGCTCCTATCTTTACAAAACTTGATTTAAAATTTCATTTATTTATTTATGTCAAAATATTTACTTATTTTGTCTTTCCTTGATTACATTGTAACTGAAAAATAAGCATTTTCTAAAAATCAGTGACCTTACATTTAAATTGCTAGTGGGTAAAGTGTGTGTCTGAATAGATTCTCTGATTAGGCTTCCTGAACAGCCGTTTCATGATATTAAAATAAGGAGCAGAAAGCTTCTTCCTGTAGAAACTTAAGAAATCGGGCTGGAGAGAAGATCGGGCTGGAGAGATGGCTCAGTGATTAAGAGCACTGACTGCTCTTCCGGAGGTTCAATTCCCAGCAACCACATGGCAGCTCACAACCATCTGGAATGAGATCTGGTATCCCCTTCTGGCCTGCAGGCATACATGCAGACAGAACACAGTATACATAATAAATAAATAAATATTAAAAAATATTGCTGGGCGGTGGTGGCACTCGCCTTTAATCCCAGCACTCAGGGGGCAGAGGCAGGCAGATATCTGTGAGTTCAAGGTCAGCCTGTTCTACAAGAGCTAGTTCCAGGACAGGCTCCAAAGCTACAGAGAAACCCTGTCTTGAAAAACCAAATAAATAAATAAATAAATAAATAAATAAATAAATAAATAAATAAATA